ACCTAACTATCAAAGTGTACACTTCCAAAAAGCTAAGGCAGAAATTTTAAATCCTGGAGAACTGAGGAGTTTGGTTACCTTTGACCATTGTTGAGTCATTTTGTTCTCAGCAATGACACGATCTGTCAGGAAAAAAAAGAAATCAACATTCCATTCATTAATATTTGATGTGTGATTTTTCTGAGCAGCAACTATAAATTTATAGATTATATTTAAAGCGCCATCGTTTAAAAAAACATCCAACTTTGTCTACTGCAATTTTCCAGTCACAGTTTAAGGCTTACTAGTGGATAATAAAGATTTTTGTGTTTTTCCTCAGCTGTTCCTTAAAGGATATATCTTGTTTTGACTGTGGCTACTAAACAAATATTTACTGGATCTTAGAACATTATTTAGGGTCAGATTTTTTTACATGTCTGTCAGCTGTAGATGACTCCAATCCAGTGAGCAATAATCCTGTAGTTGAACCTCTGACTCCACCTGATTGTGCTGAACTAATATTTAGTTCATTCATTCATATCTATATATTGTCCCAATAGGCATTTTTTATGGCGGCATTTTATTTGATTTTTTTGGGCCATGGTAAAAATGCTACAGCTTTAATGGTAATGATTATTACACAAACACTGCTGGAATATTAGTCTAATATTGGTTTGTTTTAAAAAATCTTGTCATTATTTATTGATTTTTTTTTTTTGTGTGCCTGTGTTTCTTTATTGTTTCCCTATATTGTATTTGTTTTAGTCACACGCTGCAGTGAATGGAACAGATGCACAGCAGCAAACCACCGAATAAAGCGTTTTCTAAATCCTTTCTAAAGGTCCGACTGTAAGGAGGAGTAAATGGTACATTCATTAGTAATCACTCCTGATTATATGAGGGCTTTTGAAAATAGGTCAGCATTCCTGTATTATCATCTTTACCTGCAGCTGATAGAGGACACTGTCCTTTCTTTTGAAAATGTTTTGCCAGACCTCCTCGTTCCCTGTGGGAGAAAATTGCCAAGGCTCTGGGTCTAGCTGAAATAATAGCAGGGTGATGCTTTCTTAATCAAAAACGTTCCTTTGTGTTTAAAGTAGATATAGTTGGCTATGAGGTGATCACTCCGTGGGCAACGATACTTGTTTGTGTAATAGATAAGGCTTTTTATTTATTTTTTTATTCAGCAATACGAGTTCAAATTATGAGTCTGAGAACAGCAGCTTGAGAACAGCTAAAAACACCTTTAAAAATGTTTAATACGTCATGATGGCTTTTCTACAAAGATGTAATTTAGGTCTCAGCGAAGTGGCTGCGTTTTTGTAGATCTGTGTAATTTCCTGCAGACGCTCATTAGTCCACAAGTGATCAGGAGTTTGATTTTCACAGATTAAATGAAATCCCCCTCCTAGCTATCTTTAGTGTAAACTCTTTCGGTCTTAGCCCGTGCATTAGTGGGACCTCCTTTCTAAAGTGCGCAGCCAATTTCCCTGAGTATCACAGCCACAGATCAGAACCAATGCTTTATCTAAAGAAAAAAAACCCACTCATTCTTTTGGATGCAGTTCAGATACAGATGTGGAGGGACGGATGGAGTGTTTGTGTGTGTGGTAGTGGTGGGGGAGGCATGTGGAGGGGGACTGACTAGCTGATCTCCAGGCCAGTGAAATGCACAATCAAGGAGATCAAAGTATCAATGTGAGCTTAATTACCACTGCTCCCCGTGCCCCCACCCCTCACCCTCACACCATCAGGCCAAATTACACATTGCATGCCCCCCCCCACCACCACCACCACCACCACCACCACCACCACACACACACACTTTCTATCTATAAAAATAGTGAGTGAGGATAACAATGCACTCACTGCTGAGGAGCCGTCAGCAGCTCTTCACCCCCCACACACCAGCACACACACTTTTTTCCCTTCTCCTGGTGTGTCACAAAGGGCCGGCCTATCAGTCAGCCACAGTGGCAGTTTGCAGCTTTCCTCCTGGTAATCTGACAAAAGGAGAGAAAGACACTATCTCCTCTGTGTAGATATCACAATTGTGTGGACACAGAGAGCGCGTCTGACGACTGGCCCGTTTCCTTGTGTCGCACATGCTTGACACACTCATCCTTTTGTGTGCGCGCGCTCACCCTCATGTGTACGTCAGTGTCGAGGGGAAGCGCTGGACTCCGCACCTCTCCTCGTGATGTCACACTATCCCATTTTCTAATCTGAGACAGAGCCCCGATGATTAATTCAATTAAATCGTATGTCAGGCTTCCAGTTATTGAAAGTGACCTGATCTATGATGATATTTATCACAGTCGTAATGGGCAACTGTTCACCTAAAATAACAGAAAAATTAGTGTGCGTGTGTAGATTTTCACGTAATTGCCTTAGCATCTTTATCGATCTGCTTCACGGCTCTGATGAATAATTTGAAGCTCCACACTGATTGCGTGTATAGATTTGTGTATGGTTCAGTAAGACCACAAGATGAGGAACATATTTGCTTGTAAAACATGCATTATAAAGTTGCTAGAGGCCCTCTGACTGCATCATTTACTTTGTATGATTAAAGACACATTTAAAAAGTGTTTACAGTTCTTTTATTGACCATATTGAGAGAGAGCCCGGGCAGTCAGCAACTAATCGATTAAAAGGACACAAGTTTCTTCCTGGACAAAAAATCCTCTTCAAGTATGAATAGTTACAAAAGGGTTAACAGTGGCTTTTGAATATTAAAAAATATATATAGTTTAAATTCTAATTTAATGGCCTGTGTTTTCCCCGTCCTCATTTTCCATCAAAACTTTAAATGGTTTCAAAATATTGTTCTCATTTTTGATTCATCTTCCCTGAAAACTTATGGGTTCTTAAATGTATTCCAGTACAAGTAATTCAGCAATACTTCATCGTAATAAACAACAGGCTTCGGCAACACGATCTGACAGAGCCGGCCTGCTCCCTCATTTTTCAAAGCTTACATTTGGATTTTCTTTTTTTCATTATAAAAATGTTATTTCTACTCTGTAAAGTAAAATTCAATTATTTCAGATGCAGATTTGTTGATGAGATATGAAGCCTGTACTTATGAGCACCATCGTACAGCCCAGTTGTCAGGACAGTCAGGATTCATTTGTGGTGGGTGGAGGGTCGTGGCAGATGAATCAGGGTCTGGATTAAGATGATTGTCGGCAAACAGCCTGGTGCCCAGGTCACCGAGGGTCAGCTCTTCCTGATGTGTTAATCAGGATTAAAGCCTGCAGGATGGTCCTTACTAGCAAAACACTACCCCTTTGACCCCCCTTTTTTCAGCTCACACACACACACACACACACAGGGCCGGGCTGTAAAAGCACAAACATTGCCCCGACTTAATCCCCTAATTAAGCAGGCCCCTCCTCACTATTTAACCTCAGAGAGAGCCTCCTGGCCCTTGTACTCAGCAGCCTTTGGTCACCTCCAGCGGTGGAACTCCATTGTTTACTAGTGGATTTACTAAACAGATAAGGAAACCTTGTGAGGCCCTAAAAGGCCCCAGAAGATAAAGTTGAATAGAATAAGAGATGAGTGGGCTTTGAAGAGGGTAGATCACACTCTCTAATCCCGGGATTGAGGGGTCTTCCAGAGTTCAGCATGTTATGTGCATGAATGCAGGGAGGAGGTCTGGCAAATTGGATTGTCTCTGTTTCTGAATGGTCCCTATAGCAGAGGAACTTGTCCAGCTTTGTAGGTTCAAAAGGGCGCAGAAGCAAAAGCAGCATTTCATTAAACCTGTCAGCCGCCGAGCTATAACAGAAAGAGATTAATTGCAATTTTTAGGTATTTGCCAAACTGTTTTTAATGTAATTACCTCCATACTGTTTCATAATTGTCATTTAATATGATGTTTGTTTGCTTTATGGTGTACCTCCAAGAAAATTCTCCATGAAAGCGCAATAACAAATCTGTAATAACAATAACAGCACTGTTTTATGGTATTTAACATCCATAATGGCTCATATCATCGACCGCGCTGCTCTGAGAGGAGCATATGCTCACCGTGATGGCTTGTCTCTTACAGGGAATCCTTCTGAAGCGAAGTGGCAAATCCCTCAACAAGGAGTGGAAAAAGAAATATGTCACACTGTGTGATAATGGCGTCCTCACTTACCACCCCAGTTTACATGTGAGTCCCCCCCCCACCTCCACACACAGACTTTTGCTCCTTCCTTTGCTATTTCTTTTCCACTCGGCTTTATGGGTTTGTTACACCACTGTTTGTACTCGAGGGTGCTGCTGGAGGTTTTTAATGCAGGACTTTTGTAACCGCTGAGCACGATTCTCTTGATGCGATTACATTTGCCACCATTGCTGTAGGAAACTGGATTGCAACCACATATGCACACGATGTCAACAGAGACTTATTGCTGTGTGTAACGTAACGGCCATATTAGCAAACAACTGGGACTTTGAGCTTAGTATTAAAAAACGGGGTGTCCTAGTGGTCATCTCTGCCCACCCTGTGGTGCCAATCCACGGTGTCTGCTAATGGAGACATGGCTGTGCTGCTGCGTGCCTGCCGCGCCCAGGCCTCACGCTGGCTTGTATTTATAATGGTTCTCACCGCATGGCAGCAGAGCCTGACCAGCCTCCCACATCCATCTTTGTCAGAGTCCCGCTGGGCTGCTAATACCTCTTAAACACTCGGCTGGCTGGCAGCAGACAGCTGAAGAGCCCGGTGCTCCACTCAGAAATGCCCGTCTCTGCCCTCGGATTCCCTCCATCACTCTCTGATTCTTGCAGCCTTGCGTTCGGCATGTCTAGATCATTCGGCCACATGAAATGAGCGATATTTTCAGCATCTTGTCTCTAATGAGACAACTCAAACTTTGAAAACGGGCCCAGTGGTTAGACATGAACCCTGTGTGTGGTCTTTTTTACTCTGACATTGTGTTAGTGGTTTAATTTACAAGCAGTTATTAGTAGAGCGGTGCCAGGCTAAAGTGATGTATGTAATTGACTGAACAGGCTATCTCTTGATCATTACAGCTATTACAGGTCATCGGGGCAATCTATGAATCTATGAATCTGTTGACTTACAGAGGGAGGTGAAATAAGGCTGACAGTTACATTAGCTCAAGCTCATTTTGAGCAGTGGAGCAGAGAAGGAGTAAGAAAAGGAGGAAAAAAAAGGGGGGAAGAGAGAGATTGAGGAAAGGCGCGAGGGAGGGAGGCAGCCTGAGAGTGAAAGAGGGGAACCTTTAATTTCGCAGTCAGCCAAGCCATCCACACAATCACCTTCTGTTAATTCTATCTGCTACATCAATTAAATTGTTTGTAGAAACTAATTGAATGTGGCTTAATCACACATCTTAATAGCTTTGCACGCTTCGATCTGGCTGTTAATTCCAGCAATAAAATGAAATGAGAGCGCTCACTGGGTAATTAGCGAGGAGGCTTGGGAAAGAAATGAGTGCTTTATGACACGGTAATAAAGCAGAGGAGCCGGTGGGGGGACGGCAAAGGCCGAGCTCGCCTCTATCTGGATCTTTTTCTGCTGAGCCCAATGATTTTCACCTTGGCTTCCCACATTTGGGCGGCAGTCGCTTTAAACCAAATCAAATGGCCAAATTGAAAGAGAATGAGACAGTTTGCATTCATTAAGCCTACCATCTCGCTATTTGGAGAGACGGCGTGGGCACAGGTGATGTATAATGGCTTTACAATCATTTTCCCACTATCACGCAGCCGTAGTGGAAGGTCTAAGATGGGTTGTGACTAATGGGGATGGAAATTGAATAGTCTTTTAATTTGTTTTTCTTCTATAATTCCTGGATTCTTGTTGGTCCACAGTCTGTAAGTCAAGTAGGTAAATTGTGGGATATATTTGGAAATACGAGACTTGTGTAGGGTGAAGGCTGCTTGATACAATTGTCATGCTCTTATTTATTACTTCCTGTAGGACTACATGCAGAACGTGCACGGAAAAGAGATTGACCTGCTGAGGACAACAGTTAAGGTGCCTGGGAAGCGACCGCCCAGAGCAGTGGCCACCGTCGCCCCCACTGCTAGTCCCAAAACCAACGGGCTGACCAAGGACCGCAGCACTTTGCAGCTGGGCATAGGAAACACAGGTCAGAATCCCCGCTTCATTATTTGCCCAATGGGCAGAATTTCTGCTCTTTTTTCACATAAACAGTTATGATACGATAGGATTAATAATTTTAGGGTGCCGAGTCACAACATGAATGACGAATGTATCGTCATGAATGTATCATGAATGTATCACCCTCTTCCTCCCTGCTCTGTATCCACTACACTTACATTACACTGCACTTTTGTACAAAGAGCACAAATGTGAGCAAAGTCGAATTATTTGAGGAGCTCATAGTTTGCTCAGCTTTGCAGATTTCAGATTTAATATTTTATGTTTAAAAACTTTATACAGCTTAGTAATGTTAATGTTGATGTATCAAGAGAGGCACACTTTGCAGTTTTGGTATAGTTAGCTGGCACACCTGATGCATACTGCTCATCTAGATCTAAACTTGCACTGTTCTCTCTGCTTTGGGCTCAAATAAACTAGAGCAAAGTGCAGGACTGCACATGTGAAAACACCCTTAGATAAACTACAAATATGGTGGTGCAAGCTTTTTTTAATTTTTTTTAATGACTTTTTTACATCATTGTGGTTTTGGACAAATCTCCAAAAACATGTTCTAGTCATTAAGTATTTTTATTTTGTTGTAGCCATAGTACAACCATCACTTCGTCTTTTGGACTTCAGAGTGTCCAAAATGTAGTCTATTGGGAAATGATTTGTATATTTATATAATCTACTGATCCAGCTTAATCATAAAAGTTGCATTTTTAGCCGTGGTATTTGAGGCTAGTGCCACATTTATAACGCTCACTTATGCTGGTAAATTTAAAAGCATGGACACTTTTAAGTTAAGAGAGATCATATATCTATACATTTCAGGCTCTTAGAAGAAATAAATCATACCTTGAATATGTAATGGTTACTCAATTAGGCTTTTATTACATTACTAATTTTATATTGCCCTCTGTTTGCGATTAATCACAAAAATGGCTCCCAACAGGTTAATTATCTTTCTGTATGTTTCATATATGCAAATTAGCTGCCGTGTAGTATACACACTGATGACTTAATGAGCATCTATGACAAATCTATTACTTCTCTATATTACTGAACAGGGAATTGCAAGTTGTGTTCAAATAAATGCTGCAACCATGTTTAAGAAACCGTTGTTTATTGTTGTCTTTTAAGTCACTGACCTACTTATTCTCCATCCTCTGTGGTACTGTAGTGGTCACAGAGACAGCAAGCAGTTTGGTCCTGAGCATCGTGCCAGGATTTTTCCACCTTCAGGCTTAAAAATAGAGCTCTTCTCTCAGCAAGCAGTACCACTGGAGGCTGCTGAGAGTCTGGCAGCCGTATAGAGAGGAAGCCCGTGATTGGATTTAGGGGTTAGGATTAAGAGTAATTAATACTAATTAGCAGAGTGATCCCCGGAGGGAGGTGGGGTCCTTCGTCAGCTGTGAAATGGGCACAGTGTTTCCATCATTCAGGCTAAAGCTAACTGGCTGAGAGTGGGTTCAGTGCCAAAGATGGGCCACCAGGGACCGTTAGGACTGTCCGGGCAGGTTACTTTCAAATGTGGCCAAGGTGCTGCCACAGCTGAATGAGTTAATCAGTCACAAGCAGAAAGATGTAGGAGTTTACAGAGCGCAGGACAGGAGATCAAGGTTGTGTCATCCTGGAAAGTGTTGACCTTGAGTGCAGGGTTGAGGAGAGTCGTCTGAGTGGACGAAGGGCGGTGAAAATCAGGCCAGATAAGGTTTTGGGGAGAATAAAACCCACCACCAACTGGGTTGTTTTCTTTCTTGTTGTTAACGCAAAAGTGTTGTTTTCACCTGATGATCATTTCTTGGAAAAGACTCATCAATGATGAATTCCCAACATTTTCAGTTTTCATCTATGTCTGCATCAGGGAACAATGTGAGAGAGATTTGCCTTAATCTCCACTTAGGAAAAGAAAGGTTACAAATCACATCAGGTCTCTCTCCGGGTGGAGGACCCTCTTCTGATTATGCGATCGGGATTTTGATTTCATTAGACATGCAATTGATGAAGGGAACAAAGGGGTAATTTTTCATTCACAGCGTCCAAATCACAAGCCTTGTCTTTGCCTTTGGTAATTCATTCATTCCTTAGATCTAAAGACCTTTATAATCACTGGGAGAAGAGGGATAGCAACCGGGAGAAGGAGGGGCAGAGTGGATGGGGGGAGATAGGAAGATGAAGAGGGGAGGTTGAGAAGACAGAGAGTAAATGTGGGAACGCACGCGCCCGCGAGTTTGCCAAGCGGCCAGGTTTAATTCCTTTGCTGGGTGCTGAGCGGAACCATTTTAAATATGATCCTCCCTGTTAACATGCGTCCTGCCGTGTCACCAGCGACAGATACATTGTATCAAAGTATTAATGGGCCCAGTCACTTTTAATCAATCCTCTGGGAGGGAGAGATGCGCTCACCACAAGGGAGGAAAAGGAGAAAAGTGTTTCGCCCATTCCCTCCCAGCTCTGCGCCATGATTTGTCTCCAGCTTATATAGTGCTACAGAACTAAGAGCCACATACTCCCTAACTAACAGGCCAGTAACAACTTCGGCAAGTTGAAATATTTCCCAATCTCTTCAGTCTGAATCCCTCAACCCTGTTGGGTAAGCGAAAACCATCTCCCATATTCCAAATGTGCTTAGCTTAATTATCTAAAAGTGAATGTTGTTTCTCTAAAGTTGCTGTATTGCAACATGGAAGTGCTGCTGGGGATCCCTCTGAGATCCACTGTGAGAGTTAATTGTTCGTATCGAGATCTGTTTTGTCAATAGAAATAGACGTCATCAGATGGAATCTGAAAAGGAGCTGAAATGGAGAAGAAAGCATCCGTAAAAATGTCTATTTCCAAACATAATACAGGCTGTACTTTCATACACAAGGGCTAAAATCAATATTTTAATGTTAATTTGTTGCGTACAGTTTATGAAATCATTGTATAAAATGCACAAGTCTGAATGCAAATGCTGGAGTGACTTGTGATTGGACTAGAAGCCGCAGTATGAGAGGCGAAGGGGGACGTCTGGGCGTTGGTCATGATGATGATGGTGGTGGTGGATTACACAGCCGCAGATGATGTGTTGCTCGGCCCACATTAGCATGAATGCTTCATTATCTCACTACTTGTACATAATGGGAACAACTCCACGGAGGGGTCAGGCCTCGTCACGGCTCATCAGCCCACTGACGGCCCGGCCTAAAGAGAAATGAGAAGCAAGGCAGAGCTGCTCCCCGCTAATCCATCGCCTGTACTTAACACCCGAGCCTTGGATCGCCTGCAGTAGAAACTATATGGCTTTTGTTATCTCTTTTTACACATGACAATAAAGTCCACAGTGGGTTTTTTTTTTCTGTGAAGAGTTTAAGCAGGAAATGAACAAAAGTTAAATGTTTAGCGTGCTTTCTTTATAAGAGAATCAGTGTCAGAATATGTTGAAGAAAAGTAGCAATTTTTTTTGTTTTTTTGGTGATATTTTTTTAATAAGTAGATGCAGTGGTAAAAGAATTATAGTCTAACAGACAGCAATATTCCAGTATAATAATGCCCCATTACAAATTAAATTATAATGTAATAATATAAGTAGATCATTATGATACATAGCACAGTATTTTTCTTATTATTGTAGCTTTTTAAACAATTTTTAATGACTGTGCAGAAGGGTGGTTTAATCTATAGAAATGCTATTATTCTAAGCTTAATGAGGAAAGCTGTCAAACAAATAGAGCTGGGCAAAAAATGTAACGTCCCAGTAGTCTAATATTTAGAACTAAGCAGTAAATGTCTTTGTTCATCTAGGTTTGCTTATTTTACACTACTGTTTATATTTCATGTAATGTCAACATAAATGGCTGCAATGGTTTTTCATAGAGACTTAAACAGAGACTGGACAGAATGAGGCCTCAAACTGGGGTTTTGGTTCATCCACAATTCAAAATAAATCCAGTTATATTGTCAATAATCATTAATTACTAATATTTTGTATCGTCTATGACACCAAAATCTGTGTGAGAGATTTCCAATTGAGTATTAATCCGTTGAATCTCAGTCATATCTGAGTCATAATGTTTCGTCATTGTCAGTCCACCGTAGTGCCACTGTTAAATCTATAAAATGTAAAGGAGTCGGGCCTGGCTGGAGCTTTGAGTACAGTGTTCTTTTAATGCCACAAGCTGATTATTTCTCCACTGTAATTACATTATCCTCCCCTTTATGCAGGAGTGGTCTCTGGGGACTAATGGATACAGCCATGTATAATTCATTAATCATTAGCATCCAATTTGACAATTAGACATGATTGTTGAATTTTAAATATCAATCGAAGTTGCCTTGGAGTTATCTAATCCTTTTCCCTCCCTCTCCTCTCTATTTTAAGGTATCGCAGAGTGAAACTTTGCACTCTGTGAATTAAAACACATTTTGAATAGTGGGAAAATGGATTTTCTGTTACGAATGCCTCTAACTTTAAACAGTAACACTAACGTCGGCTCTGGGAAACAACATGCAGTGGTGCACTGTTGTCCAAAATCACATAATAAAAAAAAAAACACTTACCAAGAGCAAATGTATAGAAGTCAGAGCTTTTAAAAAAAAAACTATATAATTTATGCATCACGTTTTCGGAAAACAAAGTTTCACATTTTCTTTTCAATTCTCCTACTCCAAGGCTCTCCCCCTCGCCTCCTGCTCCCCCCCCCTCTCCTCCTCCGCTCTGATTTCAGCATGCTAATTTAGTCGGTGCTCCTCAGCATGATTCCCTCGCTCTCTCTCCCATTCTTGCTGCGAATCTGCTCCCTCCCCTCTGGGACCTGAAGATTAATATTCCTGGGCCCAACAAGATAATTACTGATACTAATTAGACATGATTATGTGAATTTGATACACTTATTACTCTAGATAATGAGTAGGACATATTATCCTAACAAGCACCCGTGCCGCTTAGTTTACTTTACACACGAGCCACACACTATATTTTCTGTTATTGTCACCTCAATCAGAAACTGATATTCTCTTGTAATTATTAAATAAAGGGCCTTGATGTGTGTTACCTGTAAGATGAGGAAGCTTTGTCAAGAAAATCAGAAAATTGTGTTGATTTCCATAACAAAACCTCTGATGTTTTAACCTTCTAAGTGCCAGTGTGATATCTATTGGCTTTATTAAACTGAATTGTTTTTACAATGTCATGCAGCATGTGTGTGTGTGTGTTTTTTTTTTATGGCAAAAACGCTGTGAAAAGGATCTTGTTTTTAGACACCCACACTACTTTTAAGTAACACTTACTTTCCGTTACTTTTATGTATTATTTATTTTTAGAACATATTTTCATGTCACATGAGAGATTCCCATTCATCAGATTAACTGTCGGAGCTGTATTTTCCACCTCCGACAGTTAATCTGATTTCGCTCACATGACTGGAAGCATATCGATGAGTTTTTCGGAGCAGTTAGGACGTGTTGTAGGAGCTACTCGCGAGCAGGAGGGAAGGACCCCACATGGTTCAGCCTAGCCCATGAATTAGTAAAGAGAGCCAGGCGTCCGTGGCTTGCCTGATTGGAAGTTAGGGGGAGAACGCCTGCTGACGCCAGTGGAGATCGATGTGGCAGTCAGAGGGATGAGGCGAGATAATTAGCGTTCAGAGTGTATCTTGTTAATTAAGGGCTAATTAGAGGCAGAGGCGGAGGGAGAAGGGTTTTGTGTGTGTGTGTGCGTGTGTGTGCGTGGGGGGTTGGTTGACAGAGATATGTGCACAAATAGGGTGGCAGCAGTGTTGCAGTGCAGTAGAAACTACCTAAAACTGTTAACTCAATTACATCATTATCCTCTGAGCTTGAAGAAAACAATCCTGCAAGTAAAGAATTCAAACAGCTGTACGCAAAATAAGAAACGAGCATTAATTTTATTTTATTTTTTATTTTCCAGGCGCTTCTCACTCCAACAGCAGCACATCCCTCCAAACGGGCGGGTCGGCGTTTGGCGGCAGTAAAGATGGCATGCACCAGCGCTCCTTCTCTGTGTCCAGCGCCGACCAGTGGAATGAAGCCATCAACACCAGTACAAGCAGCGGAGCCCGTAAGCTCTCCACCTACGCTTTCTACACCCTCACTCGCCTCCCGAGTTCTTATGATTCGCATATAATTCATTATTGCCACAAAGAACAGAATGTATTAAAATAAACTTAAGGGGACCTGATCCTGAGTTGTGGAGTGATGGAGCTGCCATTTGCCGAGCTTCTTCGGCAGGTGAAACAAGCCTCATTTTCATAATTAGCTGATTAGAGCTGTGATCGCTGTGACCTTTTTGGCTGCTGCTCTTTGATAGAAGCAGCATGTTCAGAGGAGAGGAACGGTGAAGGTTAACTTTCCGCCATCGATGCATCTCCACTTGCTGCCTCCTTGTCACATTTCGCCCTGTCACTGTACTTGAGTGAAGTAAGAAAATATATTCACCATGTCTGCTGCGCCCCCCCAATCCCATCCTGTCTTTACCTTCCATCTTACTCTCTGCCCCCCCCCTTCTGTTTTCCTCTCTTTTTCTTCCGAAGAGGAAAATGAATGCTTTTCGGGGGTACCATTCATCACCAGTTATTTCCCTCTCTTTGTGGTTGGCAGTAAAAAAGCACTTAAATGCACATCAACAGAATAACAGTCATTTCCATGCATGTTTGCACTCTGGTAGTTCTCATTAGCACGGCGGCGGCTCCCCCCCTCCCCATGGGCTCCCAGGGGCCCCGGCAGTTTAAAGAGCGCACTTTACGAGCGCTGCTGGAGTCCAACTGCACGGCCCTCGTGGTTCCGCAGACAAGCCTGTCTCTCATTTGGAGCTGCCAAACGATCAATTCTGCCTGGACGCAGGCACTTCCATCACCCCCTACCCCTGTCTCCCATCAGCAGCATGCCCAAAGCAGAATTACTTAGATTCGTGGGGTCCTCAAATAAATGAGCATGAGTGTGTGTGTTCGTGTGTTTGCGTGTGTGTGTGTGTGTATATATATTCTGTATGTGTTCTTGCAGAATTTTTGTGAGTGGCTGTTTGTATGTGATTTTGTTTTCCACAGAGCATGTTTGCATTATAATGTGTGTGTGTGCGTCTGTGGGGATGTTTGTGAATGCGGGTTGGGCGACCGAACTGCAGAGAACAAATAGGACTTCCTAAACATTGTGCTATTGGAAATAAGGAGGCTAGAATTTCCTATTTTCATGTTTGGTAAACTGTAAAGCCTTTAATATTAACATAGCTCATTAACCAGCATCCAGTCTTCAACTAAATCAGATACAATTTGCTCCATTATTTTATTTTCTTCAATTATTTTCATGCTACTTTTAAGGTAACCACAAATGAGCTTGAATGAGGCAAATGAGCTGAAAATAATAGTAGAAGCGATGTGTCAAATGATAGATTATGTTAGAGGAAGAGAAGTGTCTCTGTAATCAGTGCATAGTCAGTGCAGACAGTTAAAGGCTTACGCTGAACGCAGCATCAGAAACTTTGCTGAATATCTTGCCGTTAATGTCTCCTTACAGTTTAAGGACGTGAATTAAAGTAGCGGAGCAGATCTGCAATGTAAAGTGATGCCGGGCTGTCACAACACAAACTTGATTGAAACGCAACCCTCTTATCTTCCTTCCTAATGTGTCTTCAATAATCAATAGAGGGTGTTCCGCAGCAACGGCTGCTCATGTTTTGCCATGTGAATTGACTCCAACCATGCCCAATCACTCCATTATCCTTGGTGAAGGTTGCAGGTTAACATAAAATGTGATTCTGAGATGCAAAAACAGCAGATTGATGATTCACTGGAGAATGAATGCATCTTAGCCAGGTAACCATTTCCATATTATTTAAAGAATGTCCTCATTTGTAAACCTATTGAACGAAGGCAGAAGCAGAGGTAGTAGCATCTCTTGAATATTGAGCGCAGATTTTTGATTAAATCCCGGCCCAATTTTTCTATTGCTTGCATTCATAAAGACACCCATTCTTAATGCACCGGATGCTTGTTTAGATCCTGGTCTCCTTCACGCACCTCAATCTTTGAGCCTGAATTAAAAGCAAGAGGCTCAAACAGTCAATTGATAGGCTGGCTGATGACAGTAACTTAAGTCTTTGTCAATGCGCGAGTGAAAGTCAAAGTCAAAAGACTTCTGCATTTCAGTGTCACCGATGCCTTGAGCCAGGTCTTAAAACAGGTGAAATTGATTAAGTAAAACTTTACATCATTCAAAGGTTATCTTTTCGTGTTTTCTGATGTATTTTTGGTTGATAATAATATTCCTAGTTATATTTTATCACATTTTATTTACGTTAAATGTATAAAATTGTTTTGTCAGAAATAAGTGATGCTTACGTGGAACAAAGAGTTGATTAATTAAGAAGTATTTATCAGGTTAACCTGTAATAATTGAAATAATTGTTAATTGCAGAAGGGCTTCTGAGCCGTGTCAGTTTTCATGCCAGTATGAAAATATAAATTTTTTGACAATGCTGTGCTGATTACCAAAACCTTAGTCCATGCAAAGTTTGCGTCGCTTCCCTTTTTTATCCCTTGTGCTCCAATTTATTTTTGCAGCGTTGCTAATTTATTTATATAAGAGTGTTTTTTTTCCTCTTATGAGTTTGCACATCAGCACACAGGTACTTAATGCACAGATAGCCTTTTCCTGTGGCACTGTGTTTTACACCTTGGCCTCCCAATGCGAGGGTGATGGCATGTGGGGCGTTTGATTTCTACGCCAGGCCGTAATGAAGTTTGACATTTAGTTTGGAGAGAGCAGCAGAGCGCGATCAGGCCTTGATTAGTACGCTCTAATTGAGGATAATAAGGGGGAGGCGGTGATTGTTTCTAATTTTTGCCATTAATTGCAGCCGTTGGCTTTGATTGAGGACAGGCAGGGCTGCCATGTCAAGGGGCCTGGCGGAATCATAGTGCTCCTTACCCGGAGCCTCTTGAATAACAATGAAATGACTCCCCCCTCAATTCTCTTCACCCTCTCCCCCCTGCTGCTCACTCTCTCACCATTTTTCATTCTTATTCATTTTGAGCGTAGCGTTGGTAAAGATGTTAGCAGTGCCCTCTGTCTCACCCATGGCCTCCGTTCTGGAGCTGTCATCTCAGTGCTGGGAGTGCAATACACTGTAATCACAGGTTAGCCTCGTACCTACTCTGCTGCCCAGGTGATCTTGGCTGAGTGGGTAAAGAGACTTCTGGTCCCCAGCGTGCTTCATTACCCAGCTTGGTCCTGATGGCCCTCATGCACGCTAACAGCCAGCTAATAATGCCACGGTGAATTCCTCGCTTGCAGTTTGCTTTCAACTTCATAATTGTCAACTTAACAAATTTTAATTAACCTGCCATGCATCATTTAGAGCTGAGAACCACTCAGGGGCTTTATATAAAACTATTATATCTCACACGCTTTGCTATTGTTGCTTAGTGATGTGTGCTGTAGTTTTAAATGTCCTGCTCCTACACCTGAATATCACAAACTTCTTAAAGCCCAGTGGATGCAAACAAAGGGGTGTGTATACCTTTTTACATATATATATGTTTCAGGTGCAGAGCGAGCTGGGCCGGGGTCATTTTCCACAACATTAAGGGCAGAAATTGATAATTAGAGGTGTTTATGACACGGTTGGGCCCCCCTGAGGGGCAGCCCTCCCCTTTAACCTCAAGCGACATTAAACAAATGCTGGCTGTCACTTTGGAGGCAGGTTGGAGCTCGAGTCTTCCACCCGCCATACGGAGCTGTGCTGGCGGGACAGACGCTGGTATGGAGAGGGAGGAGGAAACAGAGGGTGGGGGGTGGGGGGCACATTGGAGGACCCCTGTGCCCCCAGCTGTCTGAGCCAGCTAATGACTCGTCTCAGGGGGGCTGTTGTAAGAGAGCAGGGAAATTGAAACAGACGCCTCGACTAGGAGCTGCTACATGTGTGGCTGCGCGCTGCCATTCAGAACACCAGAGAGCCTAATATATGGGCTCCAGCTCATGCACTAATGTTATGTTTATTAATGTGATGGCATATAATCAATACATTGCTATTTATGCTGAAATATTAAGATTACCTTTAAAGACAGTTCTCCTGTTTTCAAACAAATTAGAGATCGTTTTAATGAATTTGTTAATTTTTCCCAGTAATGACTTTACGGTTTGTATACATTAACTCTCATCAAGAATAATTTGGAGGGCAGGCATAATGATGTTCGTCTCAGGTGTCGTTTCCTATATTTTGCCCACACTCGAGCAGTGTATCCCCGATCCTCTGAGCTCCCCCCACCCCGCTCAGGCATCTTCAGTCCCCCGCTGAGCCCATCTTACTCCTCCAAGACAGCCCCATCTCCCCAAAGGTAATGACCGAATTAGGCCTAATGTTGTACACTGGCTAATGGCACAGTGCCGCACATTATAGCATGTGCAACTGGCAACGACAACAGCAATAATCCCTGAGCCCCTTGTCCTCCTGCACTCCACCCCTGGGGCTGGGACGGTGCACAGGGAAATGAATGGAGTTTGCCACACTACAATGAGCTTTTGATGGGAGACAATGGAGGAGGCTGCCAGCACCACACAGGGTGGTAAGATGAGAGCAATATGGGGCCCATCTACTGGCCCTCCCTCCCTGCTTCCCCCAGGCCCCTGGCCCCCGCTCCCAGATTCATAATGGCATCCGGAGGGGGAAAGAAGGGAAAGTGATGTCAAATGTCAGGAAATCAGAAAGATGGCAAGCTGACATCCCCCTCCTATCGTCCCATCCCTCCTATCCCTTTGCCCAACGGTAGCACAGGTTAATATCACATTTATAAAATCACTTACAAGAAACAAAGCCGACTCTTAGCCCCCTGTCACTCTCAGACAGTCATATAAAGAGCTTTGCCGCAGGCCAACTTAGGTAACCATTTGTTCAGTGATAGCCCCATACCTGTCCTTCAGACCATCTAAAGCTGGAGTTGTTACACAGTTACTTTTAGAGCACTCATAGCCATTTTGTAGATGCAATAATGGATTGTGACAAGTCTACATTTACTTTTCATGATACTTTCAATATTGTAAACACTCAGCTGTCATTTCACAGGAATTAACATGGTGCAAACATACTTTTACACCCTTTTTAGGACATGTGATAAAATTATTATTTTTTTAGCTTCAATCTCTGTTTTTGTAACTCATTGCGTTAACGCTTGCTGTGCCACTAACGTAAGAGTTTTGAGACAAGTGTATATCCGCAAAGTATTAAGTCTACATTGTCCACACAAAGTCACCTTGATGATATTGATCTACAGGGGAAAATTCAAATTAAGTCATTTATAGATACATATGAAGTCATTTAAAAAATTTTAACCCAGCATTCCCTTTTTCATCCATATTCTGCATCTCTTTTTCTAAATGTATCATGCATCATCATAGCAAAAGACAGAAAATCCTGCATGACCTTGTTTTTCTTCACCGTCTCCGTCAGATTTTTTCTTCAGTAGTCGTGAAGTCATTACTCTGTGCATTCGTTGCCTGCAGAAGCTCCAGAAGAAAATCATAATGTAAATTTTTTTCCCAACATGTCAAATCTAAAACAAAGTTCATCCTCACAGTTCTTGAATAAATCATGATGTTTTTTTTCTATTGTTTGGAAATATTATCTTGACTAGAATTGATTCTGTCTAAAAAAAACAGAAGCTTATTCTACACATTTCTATGAGTGATCCACCAATGGGACAACTGCATTTAATCAGGTTTAAAACTAGCTAAAATTAATAAACATACCTGTCATACTTTATTTGTTTGGTGAGGTTTGATGCCAGTTAGTAGTCAGAACTACAATCATCAAGCTGATGATCATATAGTGAAAATTAAACTTAAAGATAAGGCTGAAAATCCAGAGTGTGTCTTTCTTTCGCTGTTCAAAAACAGTAACTGTTTCCCCTTTTATGCTTTTTTTCCCACAGCTAACGGGACGAGTGATCCGACCGGTTCGAGTGTGGGCAGTGCAACGAGTCCTAAACTTGAGCCGCCTCCCTCGCCACACGCAAACCGCAAGAAACACAGACGGAAAAAGAGCACAGGCATCACAAAGCCAGATGGCTTATCCACAGGCAATGAAGGTATGAAAAGTTACAATGCTACATTAGCTAGATGATAAAAGTTGTAGAATGAAAAAAAATATATAAATCTTTCAAGTGCTGCACAGGGGACTGACTGGCAAAATACTCACTTACTATTATAGAGACTCAGTTTCATTTTGTGGAGCAAACACACAAAAAAATTGCGATTTTACATGTATAGTTTGTGTTTCTATGTTTAACACATAGCACCAAATTTACCAGATATGCCATCTAATTCTTTCTCCTTCAAAGTTTTGGTTATTGGTTGTTCTGCACACACACAGATACATAAAGTTGCACAGATCTAAACAGTAGCCCTAACTGGTAGGCATGTATGTATACAGACAAAAACTATAGAAACTTCTTTGCATCCTTTTACTGTTTTTATTAACATATGTGCTATTCAGTGATCAGATTTAAAATGACTCCTTATAGTCGTCATGGAATAAGTGCATGTAATCTTCTTTATTTTGGCTGAATGTGGCCTATGATACACATAAAGGTGTGTAGTTTTGTATCTCCCTGTGGCCCCCTGCACAGTTCACCCTCAAAGCCTCCATTTATTTTACTGTTGCGTGAATAGCGAATGTGGCCCTCCTCAGCAGGGGAGTGGCAGTCGACTCTCCACCCAATTAATAATGATTCTTCAGTCCAATGATGAATGGACTAGTCTAATTGGATGGCATTGTGAAAACACTGTGGCGCATTTCAGAGGCCATAAAACTGATGTCACCAGAACGGGATGATCAATCAACAAGATTGATACGCTGGATAACAACAACAATGGCATTGACGCCTCCTAAATGGGGCTTAGCATTTATAATCATTATACTTTTTTATCATGGTCTCTGACAGCTTCTCTTTAAAGTCTGAATGGGTCTGCTGACCACATTGTTATATAGAGGGAACATCATCAGCATCACATAGATAAGTGGTATGAGATAAGTGGTGCCCTTTTTATTGCTGGGATAGTGTGTGGTGACATCAGCTTCTGTAGGGGTAGTCCTACTGAGCAAAGCACTGGCAATCTTAAATCTTAAAGTTAGCCTTCAGAACAGACATCGCTGTTTCCAAAATAGTTGGGACGTTGTATCGAATTGATTTGCAGTCATTTGAAGATTTGTTAAATTCAGAATAGAAATGTTGAAATTGAGACATTTTGCTGTTTTTTGAAATAATATATTTTCATTTTAATTTGATTTTGTAATACATTTATATATTATTTTTTTATAATGGTCACTATATTTTCAGTGTGTCTGCCGCGCTGTCTTAACACGTGGCATTGTCTTGTTGCCTGGATGGCAGCCATTCTGCTCTAAAACCTGTATTTATCATTAAGCATTATGTTGCCTTCACAGATATATAAGTTATCAGTTCTATCACTGAGGTTAGCTTTATTATATCGATAATGCGACATCCACGATTTGCTAAATAAATTGCAAACTGTGTACCATGGTGATGAAATCCCCACGTTCCTTGCATTTTTATGCTCTTAATTTATTGAACTATATGCCCACGAAGTTTTTCCGTCTCGTATATTCAATAACGTTCCCAATTAACCTAATTATCTGTGAGCAGATTGTCTTCCATGACGCATGCCCCAATTTTTTTGAACCATGTACTTGGGATCAAATTCAAAATGATTATATACTTTTCAAAAGCAGTAAAATATAGCAGTTTCAACAGACTATTTTCAGCCTTAAAGTGATTTCCAAAGCAGTGCATTCTGTTTTTATTTACATTCTAAACAGCGATCCAGCTTCCAAGAAATGGGATGAGCTGCTGTGTATCTAATCAAGCATCCTTTTTTTTTTTCCAAGGCACCCGTTACTTCAGTTTTATTTGACATTACTTAGATCTTAATGTATATCTCCTGACAGAATTACACAGTCACATTAAAGTCTTCACTTAGCGATGGCTGGTATTATCGAACCCCTTTATATCTCGTCAATAAGTGTACCACACGGTGCAAGGTTTACTACAGAGACCGAAGTATAAGAGTAATCAGACAGGAGGAGGCAGATTCTCAATGTTTCTCACATCATCAAACATGCACATTGTTTTCTGTCTCTCTCATTGTTCTCTGCAAGCTTTTCTATTAGCATCAGCTTGTCTGTTCTGCTGAATGCTCTGGAATACAGACGTATCGCTTAAATATTGGATTCACCCAAGTCTGGGATGTGAGTTGTGTCTCCTGTTAAAAGAACAGGAAAGAGAGAGAGGAGAGATGAGGTGGGATCCTTGAATAAATTGCTATCAGTTTATCTCATTTACGGGGCAAATCAGAAGCATGCAATGCAGGCTGAAATTGAATTTTAGTAGTTGTGAAGCATCATAAATCAAAACAGCGTGAGCGTCTTAAGGTGAGAAATCATTTTGGTCAACATGGGACGTGTGGGATGTACATGGGAGCCTGGAGAGACAGTCGCTGCAACATAATTTCCAAATATGGCACTACAGTAGTTAGCGAGGCTTCTCCAAATCACTGCTAAAGTGGAGAGAAATTTAGACTTATGTTAAAACTAAGTTCATTAGTATGAAGATTACAGGCTAAACACTCGGCAGATGGGCTCATACTTTCAAATGGGTTTGAGTCATCCGTTGTACTCTCTTGTAATTGAGCTTTTATTGTGCTTCAAAAGGATTTTATTTCAAATTAATGCAAGGCCATGTTTCCACAATCAATTTGAAGCCATATTTGGATAAAGTCAAAATTCTCTGTTACGTCTAATGCGCTGCACTTGCACCAAGAATAGGCACAAGGGACACAGTCCCTAATATCCTATGCACTGTCAGAGCTGTGCGGTGTAATGAACTTCTCATGTGCTTAAAGAATGATGCAGGATGCATGGCGAGACAACTGACAGCCCCGTAATGTGTTTCCCAGCAGCCGCCCGGCGACGAGCTCTCTCGATGTGTCGCTCGCCATAAACCCACTGGAAAATCGATGGCCGATAAAGAGTTGTGTTCAGGGGGAGCCCCCTCTGATTAATGCAGACTGTCAGGGAGCATCATTAATGTATTTCTCTTTTAAAGAAAGTGTATCAAATGCTCATTGTTTTGGGGAGTTTAGCTTGCCCAATGTGAGCTGGGGTGGGGGGTGTCGGGACGGAGGTAAACTGTGACGAGACCTTCCTTGCTGATGCTTCCAGTTTTATAGGTGAAGATATTTATTCTTGCTAAAGTGGCAGAAGTTTAAAGAAAATAAGAATGTGTTTGATGTGCAGACGGTAACGAGATTTGCAGACGTCCAGTCAAACAAAGGCCGTCAAACTGCACGTCCATTTTTGAAGACGTAGGGAACTTGCTTCAGACACTAGAACATTTTTATTATTTAAAACTTATATAAGTCAAATTTAAGACGTATAATATCTGCCTCTCATTAGATTTAGAAAAGATTAGGGTATGAGATCATCAACTAACGTGCCATTTTGACAACTTTTTTGTTCTATAGGTAGGAGTTTAACGTTTAATTTGAGTCATTGTTTTTGTAATTTTTGAGACTTCAGTGCATCTGCTTACCCATAAAACACAGAGAAAAAACACAAACCGTAACAGATCAAAAACTCGGGCGATGAAGTCAAAGGAGTGTCTGAATGTAGCTCTTGCAAGAGTGATTAAAGGTTAGTTGCAGCGTCAAAATCAAACACTTCCACGAACGCGATGCATATTATAAATATAATTTTAGATTTCATGTGACTTACACTCATTACTTACATATTTATGAATAAATGCTTAGCTGCCTGATTAGAAATCGTAGTAATAGATGCAATTTGAATGTGAATTTGTGTTTTATTGTCTGTCAAAGTAACTGTCAGTAACGTAACGTAAAAATTCCAGAAAAAATGAATATGATGACATTCTAGGTGTAAATGTAATGTAATATAAATCTGCATCTAAACATCAACAAATAGGAGACCCTCAGTATAACCTACTGAATCTAAAATTATTAAAGCACTCAGACATGATAATAGTTAAAAACCATTCATAACATTTCACATTAATATGACACATTAAGTCATAATATATGATAAGAAGACATAAATGCAAGATAACATCTTCCTTTTTTTCCTCAGTTGGAGGCATTCAGAATAAAGCGTTTGTTTGCGACAGAGCAGAATTGGATTCAGTGTACTCTGTTTCACAAATTAAATTTTGAATTAAAAAAAAAGTGCAGAAACGGGATAATCACTTTAAATCTTTGAGTAGTTTCATTTAAAATTTGAGCTGATTGAGTTTAAAGTGGTTGAAAGCACTCGATGTAATTTTATCAGCAGTTAAAGGAGAATCGGGGAAATTATTTCTGTGTTTGTAAAAGTGTGGACTCTCAGAATTATAATGGTAACCGCCCTTTTTAAATTACTGGAAAGGATAAATTGAATCAGTTTGAAGATCGTGGCCAGAATGCTGATGCTGATGGGAACTTCACTTTGGTTGAAAACTGTAGATCATCTTACATTTAAAAACCATTTAAACTAAATTTGATGTTGTCAGTCTGCCACAGTCGACCCAGTGGAATCATTTTACTTTATATATGAACATGAAGAACGCAAACGGACTTAAATAAGCAAACACTGAAAACTAAATGGGCTTTAATACCAATGTAGCACGTTTCAGATCATCTTTACTGTGGCTAAGGAAGAGGTATAAATGGACTGAAGAAGCTTACCACTGGATGCGGATTAGGAGTGTGATAAGTGTAATAATCTGGAATTAATGACATATTTACCTGCTAGCAACTGGACAAAGAAACAAAACCAATATGCAGTGATGTTAAATGAGAACGCCTAGCATACACTGCACCAACCCAACTGGTAACACAATATATTTAAGTGCCTGCTGCAAAATGTTTAACTGCTTTTATAACATTTATAATATTCATTCATCAAAACTTTTTTGTTCTCTGTTCCCTAACCCAGGCCAGTCGATAGTAAGCTAAAGTTTTGCTTATATTGAGAGTCCGGCTGTAATCCAGTATTCTGTTGTCCTGCACCTTAGTA